TATAAAAAAAAACTTGTCGGTGAAATGAGCTTCGGTGAAATAGACTGTCGGTAAAATGAACTTGTCAATGAATAATTGTCTGTGAAATGTGTTGTCTATGAAGTAATTGTCGGTGAAACAATACAGACCCAGATTAGTTATAGTTAGAAGTGTTGAATAGCATGTGCTAGTTTAAAGTGTAAGTTAGTATTATAATGATAATGAGGCATAGCTGATTTAGAATTGGCAATTTTTATATGTTCGATTATTTCATTTAAATTGAACATATAAATATTTAAATACAAATTATCATTAAAGCGTGGATATAAGTTAATATTAAAAAGTAAGGTTATATCGTATTTTTGTGAAATAATGCTCCTACGTATTAATATGATAGCTAATTTTCAATTTCTAGTCTAAGGTATTGGCCAGCGAAAAAATACCAACTATTTTGGTTTAGTTAGTGAACAGTCAAAAATTTCTATATTGTGTTAAAACCGTAGTATTACCAATCTTAATTTATTAATATTAGGATTATATTTTCATTATTGGATTTGAAATCGAAATTTTACAAGAAAACTTCTGCTAATACGCAAAATTTTATAAGCACAAAACTGTAGTTTTTTATTTTTTTAAACTGCACTGATTTTAATAGTTAACTCATGAAATTTTGGTTGGTAATGCTAAGGCGTTTGTAGAGACAAATTGTTGAATAAAGAATATATATCAAGTTTCAAAATAACCTGAGATTTTTTGAACCAGGCTTGTTATATTACTTTTCGATTTTAAAAATTGGGTTTGTTTGACAACTAGTATTTAAGTTACAAGCCATATATTTTATGAGCAATTAATAAGAGTATTTTTAATAGAAACATATCGATATGGATTCACATTTAATGTAATTTGCTAATGGAATTGAATTGACAATGTTGTAATAGGATAAAACTGTACCTGAAAATAAAATAACCATCAACATCCCACAAGCAACATTGAAAAAAATGTTCGAATTTGTTGGTTCACACAATGTTAATGAAATTTGGTCTGTGAATGTCAGGAACTCATTGCAAACTAAACACTATGTCATTTTGTTACAAAATCGAAGTCACCTCTGCTCTTGTCTTTCTATAATTCAACGTAGAATCATTTGTAGGCATTTTTTCCAAGTGATGTTAGCTATAAGGAATGCATATTTCCATGTTAGATTAATTCTGACTCGATGGTATATTGAAAATAAAGATGGTTCAGAGGAGCTATTCCTGCAAGCAGATAAGTTTAAAGATGATCAAGACGTAACAACACAGAATTCAAGTAGTATAGTAACATATTTGTGCACTTTTGATCAAGGTGAGAAAGATTTCTGTGAAGATAATCTAACTATTCTTGAACAAAAAGCTGTTTATGGAGAGTTGTATAGTATTTATAAAAAAGCCCTCAATAAGGCGCTTCAAGATAATTTAAAATCGCAACAACTTATTAGTCTTCTTCAAGAATTTGTTGAAGATATTAGTGAGCAGTCAGATTCAGGTGAAGATTCATGGATTAATGATGATGATAACAAAGATTCTATGATACCTAAGCTAAAAAATCCAAAGAAACATCATGGAAGGGGACAACTCCTTGGTACTAAAAGACTTAAGTCTTCACATGAGAATCAAGAGGTTAAAATTAAACATCAATGTCGATGCAAAAAATGTGGAAATACAGGCCATTACCAAAAAAATTGCAAAGTAAACTAATTATTTCTGCATTCATTTATACTTGTGTTGGAAATCATAATTGATGCTATACAAATGTTGCATTTAATTGTCAAAGCAATATGCTTGAATTATTTTTGGATCAAAATACTGAATTATGAAATTCTACTTATAATACAGACGTAAATTTTATATGATTGTAAAAAAATTGATTTATTGCAAGCAATATCAAGTTGTAATAAGTATCAAAATGAATTGGTTAAACCTTGTTGGAAGCTTTAATTTGACACCATAGCGTTGTGTCGCTAGCCAATAAAATTAAAAATTATAAGCATAGCTGCAGGTTATTTGAATTTCTGTATATAGAATTTATTAGAGTAGCAGCATATCGCTACAGCGATAAATTATAAAATGCACATTGCTTTTTTTTTAAATTATAATACAATCACATAATAGAGACTAGCGATGTATCGCTACAGTGATAAGTTACTAAGTCCTTTAATTTAATCTATTTAATTTAATTTAAATTATTATTTTTTATATTCTAATTTAATATAATTTAATTTATTATTTTTTTAAATCTTATTTAGTTTATTTTTCTTTATTTTAATTTATTTTTTTTAACTTTTATTTAATTTGATTTGATTTGATTTAATTTGATTTTTTAAATTGTATTTAATTTAATTTAATTAATTTAATTAATTATTTTATAATTATATTTAAGTTTATTTTTAATTTTAGTTTATTTTTTTAAATTATATTTACTTTAATTTAATTGAATTGAATTTATTATTTTTTTTAAATTGTGTTTAATTTATATTACTTTATTTTTGTAGTTAATTTAATTGGTGATCCACCAGTCAACCAGAGAATGATCATAGTAAAATGTGATTTAAATCACTTATAAAAATTGGGGGTCTCTAAATGTGGCGTGCATGCATTTAAAACTTTTTTATACTAAGTTAATTATTTTTCTAACTTAAGAGACTTTTGTAGAGCTTGTCAAGACGCATCTAATAGTGGTTAGAGCGTCAAAATTGGCTTGGTGGATGCCGAGATATCTTTAAAAAATGTTTCTTTTACTATGTAAACTTCTTTGCAAACAATAGTATTGTTTATAAAGAAGTTTACATAGTAAAAGAAACATTTTTTAAAGATATCTCAGCACCCACCAAGCCGATTTTAACGCTCTAACTACCATTAGATGCGTCTTGACAAGGTCTCTTAAGTTAGAAAAGTGATTAACTTAGTATAAAAAAAAGTTTTAGATGCGCGTATACTACATTTGAAGACCCCCAATTTTTATAAGTGATTTGAGTTACATTTTACTATGATCATTCTCGTGGATTACCAATTAATTTTATTTGTTTTTTTTAAACTTATATTTAATTTAGAAATATAATTAGAATAACCGGTGGTGATTATTACCATGATTACACTAACAAATGATCTCATATATACGTACGTGCATATGTACATACAGTATGTGTATTATATGTTATACTTTTATTCTTCTTATATGTTTGATTTCTTTCGCCACTATATACATTTACTCTAAATTTACTCTACTATATTTCTTTTGTATCACACTTTTATCTTCATGCTTTTTTGCTGTCATGCTTCTTTTACTGTTGTGCTTTTTTGGCTATTGTACTTTTATCGTCATGCTTCTTTCATCGTCATTCTTTTATCATCGTATTTTACTTATTGTCGTGTGCTGTGCTTCATTTACTATCATGCTTTTTTTGTCATCGCAGTTCTTTTACCTATTGTGCTTTTTTGTCATCGCATTTCTTTTACTGTCATGTTTCTTTTTCAATAATAGTTTCTTCTTGACTTTTTTGATGACACACATTCTATTTCACTGTTGTTTTTTTTGGCTTCGTGATTTTTTTTTTATTGTTGTATTGTTTTCATTAACTATAGCCTGTGCTGTCATTTTTCTTTTGTTGTCATACTTCTCTAAAGACACATTAGTAAAGAACTTATAGAAGGTGAATTAGCAGTAATTATTTCATGAAGGCTCAAAAGCAATTAGATTTGCTATTATTAAGTTTTTTTTTCTTTTTTTTTTGAAAGATCTTTTAGGGTATACAAGTAGTTCTTCGGATGAATTTGAAGATGTAGAATCAGAAAAAATGGAATTACCTGGTGAAGGTTTTTTAGGGTCTGCAAGTAGCTCTTTGAATAAAGATGTAGAATCAATAACTTTCGAAATAACTAGAAATGTGAAATTACCTGGTGAATTAGAACCAAACTTTTAACTCTCAGTAGGTACTCCTTATACATCATAGGACTTGGCTGAAAAATGTCTTAATAGCTATGCTAAAGCTGCAGGTTTCTCATTATGTCAGAAAAAGGTAGAAATCAACGATGATAGTGAAGTTAGACGATGTACTTTTGAATATTCACATTCTGGAGAGCCTGTTAGTAATAAAGTTGTTGATCTTTCTCAGCAATATAATATAAATTCAAAAAAGGTTTTGTGTCCATGGCATATAAATTTATCAAAACCAAAGAAGTCTGCGGTGGTTATTATTACAAGTATAATAGGCAAACACAATCATCAAATACATCCAGATGTCATGTTATTTGCCCCAAAATATAGAAAACTATCTCCAGAGATCTTGGAAATGACAAAAGGAAATATGGGGTCCAAGCAAATCTTATCGCTTTTGACTGCGAAGTTTTCTGATTATATAATTCACAAACCCGATCTTTATAACGCTGTCCAAAAGTTTAGAACTGCATCCATTCAACGTTGTGGGGAGGCACAAAGTTTTATTGAACATCTATTACAGTTAAAGAACCAAGACCCGAGTTGGATTGTTGAAATTTATATAGACCTATATAATAATCAATTAACTGGATTATTTTGGATATCATCAACACAACAACAAATTCTGATTCGCTATAACAATATTGTTCAAACTGATAATACATATCAAACTAATTGGTTTGACATGTATTTTACACTATTAGTAGTTGTTGACAATAATACAAGAACCCGGCTAGTTGCTCAAACATTATCCAATGATGAAACTACTAAATCATATAAATGGTTTTTTGAGTGCCTTATGAAGGCAACACATAACATACCATCAGTAGTTTTATTCTCTGATGCCGAACCTGAATTAAGTAACACTATTTCCCTAAAATTACCTACCACACACCATTTTCTCTGCATTTTTTATATACAGAAGAATATTCATAAAAATTTGCGGACTAAACTTGGAAAGCAATTCGATAAGTTTTATAGAAAGTTTTTATATATGCGAAATAGCACGTTTGAAGAAAACTTTTATAGGTGATGGTTACGTTTGTTAGAAAAATACCCCAGGCACAAGATTATTTTAATAGGGCACTACAGTGGTCTATTAAATCATGGGCTTAGTATTACCAATTGAAGTACTTTATAGCAGGTGCTCAAAGTACTCAGCGCATTGAAGTGATGAATAAACTGATTAAAGATGGTATAAAGACTACTTCTTTGCTGCATAACCTTCATGATCATATTCAAAATCTTTGAGATAATAAAGCTAGATGGGCAAGGCATAATAGATACCTGAATTCAATTCCTATTCATCAAGCGCCATTGATTATCGAATCAATATTTCTAAAAGTTTTTGAGATATTAAGGTCTTATTTAACGCCTCACATTTTAGCGGTACAACAACAACAAATCATAGAATCTCTTTTATATAGAGTGCAGCCACGACAAAATGATGATATTCAAGCATTACAGGTTTAATAGCTTTTTTTTAATCAGAGTTAGGCAAAGAATGATCATACAATTAATATATAGTATATTTATATGCAGCATGTGTTTTATATATTGTTTTATATTTAGTATCATACCTTCATGCCTTTAATTAATTTGAAAATTTTCTTTTATTAGGAAGATACTCAGTTAGATTATGATAGCGGTTTCTTAGAAGACGAACTCAATAGGCTACAAATTTCTATTATGGCTTTAATAAAGAATATTAGACCAAATGAAATTGTTGAAATCTGGGAGCTTGTGGGTTTAATAGCAGCTTACAAACACTATATAGTATTATTGAGTGATAGTGAATATTTATGCACTTGCATGGCTCTTGTCAACTGTGGCATTATATGTTCTTATTTTTTTCAGGTAATAATGAATACCAAAATAGCAATGTTTCATATTGAACTAGTAGTAAGACGTTGGTATCAAGATGACCATCAAGATAAAGATTTTGGAATTTTACAACAGCAAAATATCAATATTTCAACAACACTTCAACAAAATGATACAAAAATAATCTACCCAGATTTTCATATTATTGAACATATTCGAGATACTACATATAGTGTAGAAAATTGGCAATTAGCTAGCAAAAAGGTTAGATATGCTAATGGTTTTGGCAAAATAAAAAAGGCACTTAACATCACTTTGGATCTTGGATGTGAGAAAGAATTGATTAGCATAATTATGCGTTTTGTTGAACAAAAAAAGACTCTATTTGAGAGCACTAATAACGAAAATACTCAACTCAATCAACTTGAGAATATAACTGTGAATAATCTTTTAGTTACAAAACATCGTGGGTAACCACCAACAAAAAGATTAAAAAGTTCTTCTAAGACTCAAGATTATACAGGGTTAGCGCATAGTAATCATGCAATTAGTCCTCAAGATCCTAATTTAAGGATACCTTTGTCAAATATTAGTTCGAATAATTGTTCTGTTGTAGAAAAAGGTAAAAGAAAATATGTATGCAATGTATGTGGTGGGGTAGGACATAATGCACACACATGTAAGCAGCAAAAATAATGTCAGAATGTAATTAATAGTGGAATTACGATATATGCTCTAATTCATATTAATATTGTTAAAATTTAACTTTAAAATGAGTGGCAAGCCATCAATCGTGATTATAATTTAAGTCTCTAGTGTAGAGATGCTGGTGAAATTAGGTTCACCAATTTCATTAATTTCATCACCCTAATTTTATTTCACTAGCATCTTTACTCTGGCGTCAACAACCTAAAAATTTGCTTAGAGTTTTAGGTTATTG